GCCCAGGTACAATGGCTCAAAGAGCCTTCTTCAGCTCTTTCAGTGTAATTATTTCCTGCTACAAACTAAGCAAAGTGGCATATCCACTGACTAGGTGAGAAAGCCAGAATTAGACTGCTTGCTAAAAGCCAGCAAAGTGGATTCCTCCTGATACTCATTTTATGAACCTAAAGAAAGACTTCTGCAGGGGAACACAGCATTTCTGAATGCACCGTAGGGAATCTCAGCTGAATATTGTCACATTCTTTCTACCCATTTATGAAGAAGCAGAGACTGTAAGAACATACTGCCATCATTTTCATTACCTTCTGAGGCATGAGATGTAGCTGTGCCTCCATATTTAAAATTATACATGAAACATTTCCCTTTTCATAGACTTGCGTATGTCAGTTCAACTAGTAAACATATTTGACTAAAGAAAAATTCTTCACCTGTACCCCACCCTTATTTTTACTATTTAGCTACATGTTATATCACATGATAAGAGTTAGAAATATCAGAATTATGAGAAACCAATGGCTTTCACTAGAAGAAAGGTGAGAAAGAATTTATTCAAAGCATTTTGGTATTGCAGTAAACCAAATCAAAGAGCCAAAGTAAATTTACTTTGAGCCCCTCAGAGATACCATTATTCTGTAAATGTCACTTGTCAAAATGCATATGGGGGTAGATCAATTCAGAGAGCTGTTCTTGTTATAGAAAGTGAAGACCTAAGTTGACCAGGTCATGCTAAATCAAAAAAAGGTAATATTTTGTTAGATACTGATAAATGACTTAAAAATGTACTTGGTGGTCATGTGTAAGTGTTGTTATGGTCAGTTGGTTAGCTGACATTACAAGGCATCCCTTGGGAATGATGCTTGTTTTATATGGAGTTACTTATATTTAAAAAATTCACAAAATATGTGAAATAAGGCCAACCATTTGCAACTCTAAAAGCTTTGTACCTGAAAGTGCAATTTCTCCTCCTTCTCCTCCTTCTTTCTTCTTCTTCCTCTTCTTCCTCCTCCTCCTCCTCCGTTTTTTTCTTAATGTCCATTCAGTTGAAGAAAATGGATGTAGTCCCTAGGAAAACAGACGCTCAGAGTGACTTCTATTCTCGTCTCCTTTATGCACCATTTTCTCTTACTCAACCTCGAGGCCTCCTAATTAATTCTTCCACTCAACCTTTGTTTTATGAGTAAAAAGGAAATAAATGAATTCATTCAATAAATATTTATTGGCCTGAGACTATAAACCAAGCATCCTTCTAAACACTGGGGAAACAGCAGTGAACACATGGACAAAAAGTCCTGCCCTCCATGGGGCTTACATCATGCAGTGTAGCACAGGATGGTGATACAGAATCTAATCTATAGGATGAATGAAAATCAAGGGCAAACCTAGCACTTTTAGTTGCTTTGGTCTTTCTTAAATTCCACCAGGGCTCAAAAGAACTTATGTTTCCTCTAATTGTAGTATGTGGAGACAAATGTTAAATAATACATATAAGTGAAGTGTTTGATGTTAAAATGTTATATTCAAAGAAGTACAAAACTAATGAAGGGATGGTGTGTGTTCGTGTGTAATTTTAAACTGAATAACCAGGTGAGACTCGACACATGATTAGCATTCCTGTACAGACCTGAGGATGTCAGTTCACCAGTCATTTTAAGTTTGAATTTCTCATAATTAACGAGGGAATATTTTTCTTTTCTTTTCCCTTTCTCTCTCTCTTTCTCCTTCCTTCCTTCCTTCCTTCCATCCTTTCTTTCTTTCTCTTTTCCTCCCTCCCTCCCTCCCTCCCTCTCTCTCTCCCCCTCCCCCCCATCTTTGTTACAAGACCTCGCTCTGTCACCGAGGATGGATTACAGTGGTGCAATCAAAGCTCACTGCCACCTCTACCTCCTAGGCCCATGCAGTCCTCCCACCTCAGTAGCTGGAACTACAGGCATGTGCTACCATGCCCAGCTAATTTTTGTGTTTCTAGTAGAGGCAAGGTTTGTCCATGTTTTCCAGGCTGGTCTAGAACTCTGGAGCTCAAGTGATTTACCCATCTCGGCCTCCCAAAGTGATGGGATTACAGGCATGAGCCACTGTGCCCAGCTGGGGGATTTTAATTAATTTCAAATCAGATAACCAGGTAGAAAGATAAAATTAAGACTTAATTATTACAATTATAGTTTACTAATTAAGTAGTTGTTGGTAATTTGTGAGACTGTCCTCAAGAATCATCCTTGTTCATGACCCCCTGAGGATACCAAGGGGGTTTGGGGAGGACCGTGTTAAGAAAGGGAGAGAGCTCAGGGAGTGAGTTAAGACGCTGTCACAACACAAGTGAGAGAGAAAGGAACTAAATGAAGATACTGACATTTCAGAAATGTAAGAGTGATCAGGTTTCTGGTTTTTTATTGTAGTCCTTTTGTTGTATCTTTTTCCCAGAGGATAATTATTTAGTATTAAAATCCCTTCAAAAACAACCCTTTGCTGGTTCCTCTTATGGATGTGTGCTCCAATAAACTATATTTACAAAAACAGTTGGTGGACCAAATTTGTTCCCCAATTAGTTATTTGCCTACCCCTCTCTAGTTTATGTGGGCCTCCTATCCTTAATACACAGCTTCCATATTAAAATTATCTTTTTAACACAAGAAACTTCTGGATTTGCAGCCAACATGGTAGCATTACAGGTAGGAAGGAGGAGGAAAAGAAAAAAAACGTTGAAAGAGCACTTGCCAGCAACTATTTCCTCTAATAGAACTTTTCTATATGCCTCACCAACATCTACTTAAATCTCATTGGCCACTGCTTCATGCAAGGAACCTGGGAAATGCAGTCATTTAAAGGGATATATTTCCACCGTCTTTCTTGTTACCAAATAAGCAAAAAAGAATGGACACTGGGTAGGCTTGGAGCAGTCTGTGCTGTACCTACCAGATTCAGTCACCAGTGTCACTTTCTCCATTTGTCAAAGGGGAGACTGTTAGCACCTATGTCACAGACTTGCTTTCTAAAGATTGAATGACCTTATACAGTAATGTGATTAAGAAAGTGCCGTTTGCTAACTGTAAGCTCCCAGTAAATCTGGCACATTGCTGCATTAGCATTGTTTTCATCTTTGGTATGTTTTGATCTTCACTCTATGTTCAGTGCCTAGAAAGCTTTCTGGCAGACAGCAAGGCTCAACAAATATTTGAATGAATATTTGAACAACAAACTGTTGTTATCACCAGTTAAGATTTTTGCATTGTTGGCAATTAAAAACTTATTCTGACTCATCTAATCTTTGACTTTAAAAAAAGTTATTAAAAATTTAATTAACAGATTATAATTGTCTATATTTATAGGGTATAACGTGATATCTCAGTATATATATACTTTTCTTTTTTGAGATGGAGTCTTGCTCTGTCACCAGACTGGAGTGCAGTAGTGCAAGTCTCGGTTCATGGCAACCTCAGCCTCCCAAGTTCAAGCGATTCTCCTGCTTCAGCCTCCCAGTGTGCTAGGATTACGGGCATTAACCACCATGCCTGGCCTTAATCCTTTATTAAAAGAATATCACAAGCTTCTGGAAATGACAAGATAGCTAGAGAATCAGGTTTAGAGAGGAATGAGTATCCAATTATTTCTGTTATGATTTAGGTACAACCATTTTCACCCTGTCCTTGAATCACTTCACTCAACATTTAAAGCCCTGGAAGACAGAGTATAATGTTCCAGTGTGACAGAATCATCTGTCTCCCTTTGGTTAGAGGAGGACAGAACACATCATTTCACAGTCCCACCAAAACTGTCTATAACCGGAGAGAGGCAGAGAGTTAGGATGAAACTAGTGTGAAAGATGAAATCAGCAGAAGGAAACTGGGTGGAAGATATATACAAATGTCCATCACGCGTTCCCATTCTCTTTCACTTTTGTTGCTTCCCCAAACCTGTAGTTGCCCCTGGGAGAAAAGACAAAAGACATGCAGCAATTTGGCCTCTGTGAACACATCAATGTTCTCATTTTCCCCCATTATATAGCAAACTCTACCATATTGTAAAGTGGAGTGCAGGAACCCTGACCCTGTGAGACCAAAAGGAACAGTTTTTAAAGACAAGGATGACAGGATTTGACAGTGGTGTCCTGGGATTGATATTGGAAAACAGTGAAGAGATGTTGAAGAAAGGAAAGGCGCTAAGACCAAATGATTCTTGTCTGCAGAAGTACGGTGACTTTAAGTAATGACATCTGTATAAATAAGCCTTGCAATGATACAGTTTAACAAAAAAGTCATTCTCACTAAGTACTTCATTTTCTGTAAAGAACACGGTGCCAATCAGGCTGATTATTGAGCAGTTGATAATAGTGTCTGATAAAAATGTTGAAACCAGATGGTTTTTCATTTTGTTTGCCTTTACAGATATAGCCAGTGAATGTAGGTCCATGACAACCTAGAGATTTATTTTAAACCATGATTCACAATAGAGTCATCTACTGTCATTACACAAGTCTTTCAGACATTCGGAATTACTTTAACTTGGCCAATCTTTTGGAATTTTAAAAAATCATATAACCAAAACTTTATCTGATTGCTAGAAGAAAATTATATGACTTCTCCAAAATTAATTTGTATGGTTGGAAATATACATGCTAGTGCTGATGAACGTTCTGAGCAATTACTGGCAGTCTATACTGTAAACCAGCAAATCGTATGTACAGGAGGAGAGCTTATTTTAGCCTCCTTTAATAATTTAGGTGTATATTTTATATGTTATGTTTACATATTAAAAATGGATTGGTACAGACTGATAAAAGTGATACCACTGTTTATTCTTGGAATGTGGCATTTGTAACGCTGAACATAAAAATTTGCATTTATGGAAACGTGCTTTATAAAATTCCCTTCACAATTTGTACTCTTAGTTTATATTATTTAAAAAATATTTAACAAACATTCTACACCTTGATATTTTTTCGTTTGTGCAATCATGTTAATCTTTTGATCTTGATTTTTTTTTTTTTTTTTTTTGCNTTGCAGTTCTTTAACACATTATTGAAACTACAAACATCCGTAGCAGTTTCATGTGGACGGATTGCATGTTTTGAAAGCCTGAGGTATTTTATCATGAAACATGCCATGTGGAACTTCTGAAGCATAGAGCTCTGCGCAACACCTGAAGAAAGAATCCCTTACCTGGTATGTGACAGAGCTTCTCACCACCACCATGACAAACCAGGAAAAATGGGCCCACCTCAGCCCTTCAGAGTTTTCCCAACTTCAGAAATATGCTGAGTGTAAGTATTCATATTGATATTAAGATATGATTTGACATTTGTGCTAGACAATGTATCGTTTATTTATAAGAATGGAGCATAGATCCTGTTCATCATGTAACCGGGTTTTTCTGGGATGCCAGTGATCGCCGTGGGTTCTTGGCCTCCAACCCCTTAAGGAATAAGCGGTGGGGCCACTGCAGGTGGTCCACTCCTAACGTGAATATCCGACCAAAAAAGTGTTGCAGTAAGGTGATTTTATTTAGGTAGAGAAAAGAGAAGGAAAGGAGAAGAGGAGAAAGGCTTCCACGAAGAGTGTGGAAGGGGATTCTTGAGGGGAAAATCCCAGAGGGAGCTCCCACCATGTGGGAGGGGATTCCAGAATGCTGGAAAATCGGGCACAGGTGAGGGAGCGCGAACTTTTATCCTGGGAGAAATCCCCACCTTCTCCAAGACCCTGGGCCAATGAAAGGAGTTCCTTAGAACTACCGCTGGAGTGATTGACTTTTAGTTTCTTCCCACCCCCGCAAAATTCAAACATAAATTGTTGAATCTCCGGGATGAAGAGAGATGGGAGGGGGCATGGCGCCGCAGAAATTCTCGCCCTTAAAGCTACCACCCCTCATGGACCCGGAAAGAGAACATATTCCCTCAATCATGGCCTTAGATCCAGGTGTGCCTTTTGTGTTTACAAGTCAGGTTGACTTGAGACTACCTTTTTGACTTGAGAGAAAGGAAAAGGCAAATTAAATCGAGTATTATATGGTGAAGGAAAGGAGCTAATATGTTAGATGTCAAGCTTAAAAAAAAACACTTTAGCTGTAATGGAAATAAAGCAGAGGATGAGACAGACCCGCAAAATGGAGAGTGGTAATACAGTAACACACAGGGAGAAGGGCAAACAGGTGCAGAGGGTTAGCAGGAAGGAGGAGGAGGAGAGAAAAGCAATGCTGTGCTTGAGACAGTGTGGTCTGACTCACAGGTATGAGGAAGGAGGGAAAAGGGAGGGGTGTTTGTGTCCCTGTGTGTGTGTGTGTGTGTGTGTGTGTGTGTGTTTGTTAACCTAGCACTTCAAAAGAGAGTAGGAAGTAGGGAGTCATAGATAAAATATGGAATTAGATTCAGAGGTTGTAAAAGAAAGAAGTGTCAGGACCACACATTTTTAGTGTGTGCATTGATACAAATGACAAGCTATGATCGTTCATTTCACAGTAAGTTTATTTAAAAATATTGTTTCTTTGCATATGTAGAGTAAGATTTTATTTATAAGAAATTTGTTTTTACTCTTGATGTTCCGGAATATGCCTATTTTATAAAGTGACTTTCAACTATAATATGAACAGCAGTTGGGTCAGGTGTTGAAGAGAGAATAAAAGCAACTAATTAATAGCAGGCACCAAAAGGTGCATGATGCATCCAGATGATGCGTCCAGAAAAGGCAGTGTATTGAAAATGCAGTAGGGATGGTAAGAATATAAAGAATAACATGGTGACAGGGAGAATGAAATGCAAGAGATGTAAAGGAGAAAAATAACCAAACAGCACATAATAGTGAACGAGGTGGCTGGGCATGGTGGCTCTTGCCTATAATACCAGCACTGTCGGAGGCTGAGGTGGGTGGATCATGAAGTCAGGAGATCGAGGCCATCCTGACCAGTATGGTGAAACTCCATCTCTATTAAAGATACAAAAATTAGCAGGGTGTGGTGGCATGTGCCTGTAGTACTAGCTATTCAGGTGACTGAACCTGGGAGGCAGAGATTGCAGTGAGCTAGTATCACACCATTGCATTCCACCCTGGTGACAGAGCAAGACTGCAAGACTTTGTCTCAAAAAAAAAAAAAAAATTAGTGAAAGAGGTAAAAATTAAGCCATCTGGGAGACTGATGCAGAAAGATATTGTGTCATATGAAACTGTGAAATGTGTTTCAGGAATGAGCTTAATAACACTATAAAGCAGAAACAGAGAAAAGGGTTAAACATAGAATTGGGATTTAGAACATGAAGATGGCTGTGATGGTAATAGTGAGTACTAACACCCACATTTTAGAGTACGTATTATGAGTCAGGAACACTAATAAATGCTTCATGTATATTATCTGCAAAGACCAGTTTCAAAGGTATTCCAGAACCTTCTTAATTTGCGGATTGAGAGAGGGTATGAAAATGCTGCTGAGTATTTGTAAGGAGGTTCCTAATCTATAATTTCATAGGTGTTTTTTAAGAAATGCCTGTGACTATTGACTAAGAGTCAATAATGAAAATATGATTATAAAATATATGATATTTGGAAACCTTGACTTCAAAATATGGTTCTCACACTCAAAAGTGTTTAGACCCTCTAGATGTACAGTATATGCATTTATCATATTAAGAACATTTATTTTGGGAGGCCTTGGCAGAAAGATTGCCTGAGCCCAGAAGTTCATTACTAGCCTGGACAAAACAGTGAGACAGTGTCTCTGTGGAAAAAAAAAATTAGGCTAGCACGATGGCATGCACCTGTCGTCCTAGCTACTCGGGAGGCTGAGGTGAGAGGATTGCTTGAGGCCAGGAGGTTTAGGCTGCAATGAGCCATGGTTGTGCCACTGAAGTCTACCATGGCTGACAGAGGGAGACTGTCTCAAGAAGAAATAAGAAGAAGGAGGAGGAGGAGGAAGGGGAGGGGAAATGGGGAGGGGAAAGGGAAAGGGGGCAGGAGGAGAAGGAGGAGGAGAAAGAAAAGAAGATTTAGCTCAAAATGGCCAAATTATTTTTTACCTGCATTCTTATACTCAATACGTTCTAAATTGGTTAAAAATTGATTTGCCTATGATTTCAAATATCCACATGCTCTTTGCTGTTGCAGTAAACCAATCATACAGGAAATACTTCTGAGCATCTTCTTTGGAGTGAGTTGTCTGTTTGGTACTGCAGGAGGTGCAGGAGATACAGGTCCTCCCTTCAAGGAATGTATAGCTTAAAGAAGGGTAGAAACTAATAGATGAATAATTCTTTGTCTAGCCAGAATATTTTAAGTGCTAAAAGCAGACTTTAAGGTTATATGGGGTTTTACAATGCCAGTGGAGATGGGAAAGGGAATTATTCATAGAAGAAGCAGGATTTGAAACGAATCTTTAAAAATTAGGTTTAAGGTAAATGACAAAGGAAATTATATGAATAAAAAGGAAAATCGAGCATAAATCTGAGCAAGGGAAGTGAGGCACATTTAATCCATCACAATTTAAAAGAGTCAGTAAAGTCTATAAAAATGAAATAGTATCAAAATATGCCATACTTGAATCAAACAATGAAGAGTCACTGGACAGTTATAAGTGGTAGAGTGACAGAAACAATGTTGTACTTCGAGAAGTTTAACCACTAAGAAGATGGTATATGATGATGGAGGGATACTAGAGACTAGTTAGCAGGCTATTGGGGCAGACTGCGTAACGTAGATCATGAATGATGACTGGAAAAGTGGGGATTCAGATTTTATAACATTGAAATTAACAGAAGACATCTTGGGAAATAACAAAATACTACAACTTATAGAGAGAGAGAGAGAGAAAGAGAGAGGAAGAGAGAGAGAGAGAGAGAGATGAAATTTTTTCCTCCAGCTTTAAAATAAGGGATTATAGTGATATCTGTCAAGTAAAGAATACATCGAGTTTGGCTTAGGTTACTTTGAGTTTGGCTTGGTTATTAAAATATATTTTCCAGTGTTTGAGTACTTATAAGGAAAGTTCCTATATTATGTGAAATATTAATATAAAATATGTAAATTATTGCTATGATAGCTAAAATATTATTGCAATTGCTATTGCTTAGATATAGAAATTCTATTTGATTAGCAGAAAGACATTTCTACTGAATTATTAAATGTATTATAGGCTGCTACTTATATTTAATTGGCTAATGAATATGGTGGTACATTTAATTATATCATAAGAATGCACAAATTGGTAATAAATTTGTGGAAATTCCTAAAACGAATGATAATAAAAATTATCATAAATGTAAAACTCATAATATATTGAGACAAAGATCAATAGATATTCAGTAAATTGGTAGTATGAAATGTCACAGTGAGTGTAAGAGCATTATTAAAATGGATTCTGTGAGAAGACAAATTAACAGATTAACTGTGAATTTTAACAAAATAGTGCCAATTCCGTGATTATTACACTCTGTTTAAATAGCCAAGACAACATGAAAAGTGCTAGATTTATTGCTCCAAGGATTTTCCTCTGTAATTAGGAGGCAAAGGATGTCATGATTGGAATATAATCTTGTGTAATAAATTGTCATTGCCAAAATATAACAGGAAACAAACATCATTCTGAAGATTATAGAAGTCATATATTTTCCTTGCTGTTCAATAACTATGATCAGTTTATCAGAGGCTTTAAATATTAGATTTTTCATGTGGCAGTGCAGTATTGGTAAGTGGCATTCCTCCATACTCTATTAGAATAATGATATATTGGGTTCACTTTCTTAATTTTAATTGAATTGCATCTTTTAATAAGAATTTCTTCATATGCATTAAAGACGTATAAAAAATTAACTTTGAAGATTTAAAGTTAAATTTGCAACATGCTAAGATTATATTTGGTATATATCAAATAAGTGTTTTATTTGCCTTCTTGGGTTAAGATGGGACTGCAGAAACTCTTGGGCAAGATGAGTCAGCTCATGGGACCCTAATTCCAGCAAAACAAAATCATTCAATGTGGACCCAGAGAATACCATAAAGATAATTGCCTCAAGTTACCTGATTTAAAATTTTCTCCGCAATTGCCATATTGTGCCTTATAACTATGATTGTTCTCCTAAATGTTAGGCTTTTCTTAAAATAATTAAGGATAAGTACGGTGATAGTGGCACAGCATTCCTAAATAGGTAGCTAGCATACCAGACAGCTTGTGTTTAAATCCTGGTCCTACCATATTTCAGATACTTGAGTTTGGGTAACTTAACATATCTGTGCTTTATGCGGAAACAAATGTGTGCAGTGCTGTAAGTATTAAGTTGAATGA